ACCCTACAGTATTATAATGTATGTTTTATCAAGAACATTTTGAAAATTCAAGTTTTTAAAGAAAACTATAAAGATCCTTCAATAATTAAAAACGTGGTGCTCGACCTCATTCAATCTAAATTAGCCCTTTAAAGAAACTTTTTTGATAACTGCATTAGCCACTTCTTTCATCCGTGCCATCCGTGTTTTGACGTAATAAAACTGAGCAAAATGTTTCACCGTTTCAAAAGCTTATTTCGATTAAAATTCCACAATACATCTAAGTTTTAAATATAATGAGACTATCGAGAGCTTACGTACCAACCATAATGAAAAAGAAGACGAAAACGCCACTTGCTTCTGCTAAGAAAAGGGATTCAAAGAATGTATTGATCCACACCGTAAGCATATCATTACTTGTAATCTCAACATTATGGAAGATACAATATTCTTAAAAACCAAGTATAACCTAAATGTGCTCGGTTAGCTACATTATTAATTATTCATTTTATAACCTTAATTTTTATGTGTTTCGTTATTAACCATCAACTACGGCAAGTTTTAGTCACAGGCTATAAGAAATTATTCTTTCGATTTTTGTCACAATAGTATTACATTTAATTAATTTTTAATTTGTTTTTACAAAATTTTCACAGAAACTAATTAAATTTATTCGTTACTTACTTATTTTATCTATATATCTATATCTATATTATATATATAGATATATTGGTAGGTATGTATTCATTTATATATGTGTGTGTATAAAGTGAGAGAGATAACTATAGATATAAGTACAGATAAATATGAGTCCATTCTTTATTTCTTTTACATTACGTGGGAAGTAGATGCTTTATGCAAATGTTAACTTTTCATGCTATGCTCAGAAGCGATTATATACAGCATTAGAAGTAAATATGGCTTATCTTCTGTAAAAGTTAGTTAAATTAGATAAAAGTTTTGGTATTACTGCACGCATATCTTCCGAACTCCCTTCTCTGATAAAAACTAGCCGATTTTTAATTTCAAAACGAAGAACACTTAAAAATATGTTCTGATTACACGTGTTTGAAATGTATTACATAGAAACGTTTTGACGTATATGTGGAACAAGATCTAAACTTTGACAAAAAAATAATTTTAAATTACGAGAAAATCAGCCCCCAAAATTATAGTTTTAGTATATTGTAGTTTCCTAAAGTAAACACCTAAAATCTTATTTTATTGAGTTTTTATTTATTCAATAATCTTTTGCTTTTGACTATAGCTTCTATAAAAGTATAGTAGCAATACTAAAATTACATAAGAATTAATATAGATTTACAATAAACGAGGGGTGAAGAGTTAACTTAAAACTCTTCTGTTAGAAGAACCTAATATTGATCCTTAGAAAACTACGCAAAAGTCGATTCATTCCCGGTTGGGCCATAAGATAAATGAAGCAGCTGCTATTGATCTGTCGTCACTACCCTGATTTAAATTAAAGTTCATGTCTCTATGAAAGACATAATAGCAAAGGAAAACTATCAATAGAGAGGTGTCAATTAGCCACTTCTCTTAGATAAAATGATTCCCCTTTAAAAACATACCCTGAAAAGAATTAACTTCCATTAAAAAGCTGTCAAATTTAGAAGTACCGTTATAGAACATTTTAGCTTATTTTTTTTTTAAATTATAGAGGTATGCAAAATATCCATTGTTAATTTTTAAATCAGCTACATTTAAGAATTTCATTAGGTTAAATTAATTTATTTAAATATGGCAAGGCACACAAAGACTATCTTTTTAAGAAGAGGGATATTTTCGTTGAAGATTTTCTAAAGGAAACTTGCTGGTATTCGCATTGCACACGGTGAAAACCATGAAATGCGACAATTCAACAGCCCGTTTGCCTGGGATCGACACCAGGTCGAACCCCCAGTATTTAGGAGTTTTAAATATTCTGCCACTGATATAACTTTAAATCGTTTGTTTATGGAGCTTTCATAAAAAAATAAGTAATTTTAAATTGCACAGATGCAACTAAACGCACCTTAATTTTAAAACTCTAATAATTAAGAAGCTTAAAGGACTGAAAACAAAAAAGAAAGAAATTTATTTTCTGCCCTTGCTATCTTTCCGTTTATTTACCTTAACACATGGAAATAATTTTAATAACTTTGTTAATAATAAATCATGTTTGAATAAATCATAAGTCCTTTTATGATAATGTTTGTCAAGGGAATTATTCGTTATCTCTTATATTTATACGTTATGTGTACCAGCAGGTAAACTTCTGAATCACTTTTATAGTTATTTTCCAAATTATCCCCCAACCATCCCTTTCTTATTTAAACCATTAAGTGATGTTGTAAACAGTGAAGTTTAAAAAAATAAATAAAATAAAAACGTTTGAGGCAAGTTAAATTATTATTTCCTTTCACTCTTTGCTTCAACCGATTAAATAATACTAATCCCTGTTACTTTTTCTATTTAAAATATTATATGTCATTAGTTGAACTCTCTATGCAAATACTTTTAACTACATTTTATTTTTCGAATTTCCTGACTGTTGATCGAGTTTTCTATTGTTAATTACATCTCAGGAATATAAAAATTGTTTTCACTAATGGAATATAATCGCGTAGCTTTATTTTCACATTGCGTATACAATTCTTTGAATAATAAAATGATAATCATATATTTTTCTAAAAGCTTTCTTCTTTTGGGAATTTCAATATGATTTTAAACTTTTTTCTAGAATGTGTTGATTTTAGTTATTTAATTTTCCCATATTTTAAAAAAAATCCATTTTATAAGTGTTACAAAAACAAATAATTATTTGCATTTTATCTAATAGGTAAGATGTTCGTAATGCAACTTCAGCTATATTTTTTTCAAAACATGGAGTATTGTTTCAAAGTAATCCAATTTAAATTTGTGGGTTGCTTGAATGCTAAGTAAATAAAGATGCAGTAAGTAAATTATTCCAAATTAAGATGTTAAGCATAGATGTATGTAATTTCTAAATGGTATACTTACTTTTAAAAAAGGATATTTTATCATTATTTACTAAGTTTGTACTATAAAACTTTTTGCATTCTCTGTTACTTCAAAGACACCAACGTGTAAGAAACACTTGGATATTTATGTTTTTCTTCGTCTCAAACAAAGCCCTCCACTAAAGCATCTTTCCTAAGGACAGATAATGTATAAGATATTGGCTTGCCTTCTATCTGTCTAAAATAATAATGATTGTAGCTTATAACATAACCAGTTTCCTACTCTTCTTTTGCCTCAATTTCAAGAATATCTGGCAGTCGCAAACTAGTATGAGGCAGATATTCTTAAAATTTGATTTTTCATATTTCTGAAAACCATTTGAGTTCAAATTATTTAAAGAACTTGTAGCGTTGCGCGCCTCCAACTTACACGCAACCAGAGACGTGAAAACGGATAAAACGAGTCTTGTTAAGGGTTAAGTCCCTTTTTATTCACGTAATAATTACAAGTGCGTGCTCTTGACGCTCACAACTGCGCCACTCGGCGGTCAAATAAAAATATAACCTGAAAAGAAACTAAAGACAAGACTCTAACTACGAGGCTCTCTAAAGTAACTAACTAACTCACCGGTTACAATACCGCTGCTAATTCAGCAAACTTTGAAGATCCTGAACGATTAACAATACTCAGGCAAGCCACAGGCCGAAACGCGGGGTTCGTCAATTTCTGGCCAACTACTCCGCGCTCGTGAAGTAAGAATATCACACCTCGAACTCGTTTCCTTTCTATTTAATCAGAAATACTTCCGCTGATAATTTGAATCCTTGCGCGTTCTACTAAAATTTACATACTCTGGCATTGGCAGTTCCAGGGGAAAGTAAGGCTTGACAGGAAAGATAGTTTAAACTTAAAATAAATGTTAGTTAAAATAAATATAAACCCTACAAACTACTCATTGTTTTTTCTGAAACTCATACAGTGCATTACTAAAATTTTACTAAAATTCATCTTCCTATGTTTCTTTCTTAATTCCTAATAAAATCTATTAACGTAACTTATAAGTGGCCCGGAAACCAAAAACCTTAATATAATTATTCTTCACTTTATTGCAGTTGAAACGTAATTAACGTATAATGATTCTGCACACACCTGTAGGGTGAATTAGGTTTTCGAAACCTAAAGCATAAAAAATATTCACTTCCTTGGCAGGAATTGGAACTCCGGACTTCCCGATTGCTATCTAGATGTGCTTTCTATTACACCACGAATGCTTGCGATAAGGACGCAGGAAACATCTTGACTACATATATTAATGTCTAAAGGAAATAATTATTAATCCTTATTAATATAATTTAAGTTCACAGAATTTATTGCTATATTCTAAATGCAAATCTAGATTAGGAAACTGAAATAAACTCTACAGAAATTTACCAACGCTTTTATTATACTTCATCAGCGAACTCCTTGCAAAATTTTAGTTCAAAACTTACTAAACAACATATTAAGTGACTCGATTTCATTTGGGGTAGTTTCTTATATGAACACGTTCTCATCGTTCATCTTCTTTTAGATGAAAGTATCCCGATCAGTTAGAACTCACTTGGGCTAAAATGGGGGAGGGAGGATCTCATCTACTGCGAAGACTGATAGAGACATCAGTCCTCGCAATAGATAAGATTTCCCCAATAAACGGAGAAATTTGTCAGCTGCTAGTTCCTAACCACGAAATTGTCCTGACATATGAGAAAACTTTTCTTACATCTTGCATAATTCTAGCATTAGAGAAAGCTAATTTTAGGAAGGAAAATTCATGAATATCAAATATCTTACTTTACCTTAATGCAGGAAAAATGTCTTCTAAGGTGAAGCCAAATACTGAACATTCTTATGATGGACCAAGAAGCATGGATTTTTCTCATTACTACATAAAGGCATGATTTAATTATATGTATTTGATTTGGGTAGTTCAAAGTTGAAAATTTATTTTGCAGTAAACAATTTGAATATAACTAATCTTTTGTTCTTTGCTCTCAATAAAGGATTATGAAGTAGACCTCTATTTACGTCAGAAATGGCTTGATGAAAGATTGAAAAAGCCAGAGATGTCGAGACCCCTCGATCTCAATGATCCTAAGCTGGTTCAAAGAATTTGGAAACCGGAAGTATTTTTTGCAAATGCAAAACATGCCGAATTTCAGTATGTAACTGTACCAAATGTACTTGTCCGAATTACTCCATCTGGGAATCTTCTGTACATGCTTAGGTAAGTTAGCATCTTCTTACTGGAAGTTTCCTAGAAAAACGATCTAAATATTTTTTTTTCTTTCAGTTCACAGTGCATTATACAAATCTTTCGAAAATGATCTTTAAAAAACGTTTTCATTGCTACCTACCTATACATGCAACGGCAGTTTTACAATCTAATGATGAAACTAATAAGTGCATAGTTGTATGCATTTTGCAGACACATTTAATAACAATAATAATTTTTCAGAGATTCCTAATAATTAACAGTGCGACACAAGCTTCGTCTATTAAATCTGATGTGTATTCTCCGAAGTCCATTAGGGTATATCACAAAAGACAAAGGTCCAACCTTGCAGTACTGTAAAAGCAGTAAATAAACATTTCTGACAAATATATGTACAGTTTTGTTCAAAACGTGCAATATACTTTCTTCCCTGCAATCTTCTTTTCAGGACAGGGATTAATCAATCAAGAGTTGAATTTAATTTAATACTCTTTTTGAATAATACAGTGAGAGTGTATCTTTTGGTATGTTTATTGTTTAGAAAATGTTTTTATTTTGAATCGTAGAAGAAATTTAAGTTTGTAAGCATTTTGAAACTTTCTGCCTCAAAGCAAGAAATAAAATGTCATAACTTTCTTTTGTAGAACAAGCAATATAATGTTACGTAATATAAACCGATCCCTTGCCTTTCACATTCTAACACATAAATTTATAGCTTTGTTTTGTTTTTATGAAAAAAATTGAAAAGTAAGCTAAATTAAAAATAACATTAAAAAATCCCGTTAATAATGATAAAAAATTTACAGCAAAATCAAAGGGAAGAACATGAAAGAAATAAAAGAGAGAGAAACTTTCGCAGCACATTTGTTTCTAAGAAGGGTTTTTTTTTTTTTTTTTTTTTTTTTTTTTTTTTTTTTTTTTTTTGTTACAGCAAAAAAAGGAATACAGTGTATCTGAATATCTTTATATCTGTTGCACAAGATGTTCTTAATTTATTTATAATCAAATCGTGTGTATTGGAATTTGATCTGATGTGTCCTTTTTTTTTTTGGGGGTTGTGTTTTCGTGATCTTGTTATATATTTTTCTCTATTTTGATTTTATATTTGAGTATTATTTGTATCTTATTTATATTTTGTATCATGTATTATTTATTTTGTATCTGATGTGTTTTGGGGGTCACTCTTTTTTTTTACCATGAGGCCACTTTGTAGCCAGAAGGGTCTGAGTGTACGCTCAATGTATTACAATGTATTACCGTGTATCTGAAGCACATTTGTAGATTTGTTTACAGGGGGCATGCCGTTATTTTAAGTTTTATTTCTTTGTTTCCTTTTACCTCTTGAAATTGGACCACAGCCATTTGCGACACAGGACTGCATTTCAGTGCAATAAAACAAACCTGGGACTCAATAATTAAATATTAGTTCAAGGACAAAATCTTCATTTCAAGCTCTTTCTTCGTGATGGTATTAAATTTCCAGCAAGGAGTTACTGCAGAATTATACATTATAATGAAGAGTTAAACGAGCATAATCTATTTTCCAGTGGATTGCGTTCCACATTTTAAACGTTTTGCGTGTATGCTAATCGAACAAATAGGACTTCCTGAAAATACCACTTAATGTATGGTTTTTGAAAAGAATATTCTAACAAGATTTGATTATTTAGTAAATAACTTGTACATAGCAGTGGGATGAATGAACGTAAATTTTCAAGCGATATTAATACTTCATTTCAATAATTGTAAAACAATACTTAAACAAAAATAGTAACACAACTAGAAATTATTAAAGACATATTCATTTTCTCCTATATACGAAAAAAATGGATTTCGTTAAAAATTTAAACATAGTCATCCGTAAACGACTGAAAATTAAGAAAAATGTGTAACTCTAAGAGGAAAATGGCTAAGCGTCTGTAATATTTTCTGCTTCTGCTTTTCTCAAACACTGCAAATGATACTTTCTAACAGACATCTTAAAATAACATTTTGTAGAGCATTTAGCTGTGTGAGGAAATATGAATACACCCTTTCAAAAATTTCAAAAGCCAATTCAAACAAGAAAAATTAGTATCACAGAAGTTCATAGCTCATTCAAACAGAATTACCAGATGCAATGTTCAATGAATGAGAAGCTCAGTGAAAAAGAAAATGAGAGAGAAAATTTCAGGAAGAATATCAGTGTAAAAGGAAAGCAACTTTCCACGTGGTTGATTTTAAGTTAATCGACGTAATGACATTATTCAGACAATGAAAAGTAGTTGATTTCATCAGAAATGGATTCTCTTAAAACTAGTTCTCAGATGGAAAAGACAGGATCCAAAGTAATCGTTTTTTTTATTAAGTCTATGCTTTCAACGTGTTCTTTTGTAAAATTGTAAAGTAGCTTTGCTCACGTATTTTTTAAATGCTTTTCAATAAGATTTTTGTCTTTCATAGAAAATTGCCTAAATTTAATTTTTTTACATCTAAATTATCAAATAAATTACCTAGCTTAAATTTAAGTAAAAGCTTTAGATTTGAAACAGTTATGTTAAATTTACGATTAAATATATAGGAGCCTAAAGCATTAATCCACAAATGTAACGAATGAAAAGGGAAAATATAGCTGTTAAAGATACCTAAAATTTTGTAAAGCCTACCCTAACGCGTATTTTTTGTTTGTCATATCATTTACATCATATAAAATATTATAGTAGCATTCACATAATATTTAATATTAATTTCCAAAATTTTGAATAGATCAAAAGTAATTTCCAAAACTATTCCAGCAATCTATGGAAATGAATAAAATTACATGCTGTCTTACTTTTGCTCAAGAATCACAATGCTAAGTCAAACAATTTTAACAATTTTTTTAATTGTAACTAAAATTATTAATCGCAACAGGAACTCTCATTATAACAAAGTAATAAATATAGTAACTTAAGTTCTCCTTCGATTCAAATTTAGGAAATAAATTTTAAAATGCATTTTGGAACTATTTTTATTTCTGTAAATCTAAAACATTGAATCCATCGAAATCACAAAAGAAGCTTAAATTAAAAAAGAAAATCTGAAAGGTTTCAGATTTTAAATTATGTCCAAAGGGGCGTTTTTTAATGTTTTGTGTGTTACTTTTATTTATTAAATATCATGTTCTTCGCACTTAAACCATAAATTTCAGTTCAATAGCAATGTCGTAAAATAATTTAAAATAGCCTATCTTTTAATTCCGCTACACAGTTCCGCGAGCTGGAGATAAAAAGCTTTTTTTTCCCTCCAGTAGATGGTTGGCATTGCTCGCTTTCAAATCGTTGAGTTTGTCACTCAAAAATTCGTTAAACCTTTGCAAAATAGGATATCGATAATAAAACAAATTCCAAATTTCAAATTTGGGCTTCCACATGCCCATATTCGCAGTAGGATTACGTCATACAAATTCGATGGCTCTGTGTACCGTTGTTTTATCAGAATGCGAGAAATATACATAGATTTATGCAGATTTTTCATTATTTAATTTCTTCAAATATAGGACTCTAACATTTGGTGGCAACAGTTTGAAAAGTGAAACGGACATTTATAATGTTTCAACGCAAAATCGCAAAACGAAAACAATATTCCTTCAGGGACAAAGCCCCTTTGGACTAATAAACAGACTTATTCGATATTCGATATTAAAACACATACGAAGCCGCATAAATAGATTTTACGATGCAGTATAATTTCTCATTCATCCCTGATTTATTTCTAATTCAAAAGCCTTCAAGAGATTTCAGAATGAGTTGTGGATGAAAGTAATTTTACAAAAATATGTATTTGTTGTGTTTTTGCGACTTATCTCACTTCTCTGAGAATAACATCAGAAGCCCACAAAATTCATCGGGCCAGAGAGTGCAAGAATGCGCCTGTCGCTGGCAAGAGCCTTGAGCAGCATACAGGTGACAGTACGACTTTGCTCAGTTCCGTCTCCAGTTTTGAAGGAGAGCACCCCCAGAGGGCATTTCCAAGGGTCTGCCACCCTTTTCCTCTACAACTAGCATCTCGAGAGAACTTAAGTCTCGCCACATATTTAGAATTTTCCCATGCCGCACAGGCACTATACAGTTGCAAACAACCATGCCTTCTCCGGGTTTCTAACACGAGCCCTTCGGTACAGCAGTCAGCGTCGCTAATAACTATCCCGGTTGGGCGGCAAATGCGTATTTTCATTTCACAATGTACTCCACTTCAGTGTTAATTTTTTTTCCTAATTTTACAGTAAAATTTATCAGTGTCTTAACGCATACGCGATACGAGAATATGACAAACACATATTAGCGCGTAATATTTAACACATTTAATCAAAGATAACTGCATTCAGACCAAAATATTGCAAGCTATTTGCCAATTACTGATGTATTTGTAACAGCATAACTAAGTAGTGCAAATACTATAGATCCATTAACGTAATTGCTTTTTATCCTTTTAATAGAGAAAAATTCGAAGGCTAATTAAGCATATCTTTAAAATAATTGTCCTTGAACAGACATGGAGTTATAAAAATATACTTTTTCGAAAATGGAATTTCGAAGAAGCATTTCTTAATTATTAAAGACCATAAAGAAATACATTATCTTATCTATAAGGTTTAATCAGTTTAATACTAATTGAAAACAAACGAATTTTTCAAATAATATATCCTTTACTTTCTTTGGGGTAAAGAATTGTATCTCTAATTAGATAGACTCCGAGTTTATTGAATAAGACAAATAACTATTCGCTATTTTGAGAAAATAATTGAGATTTTCGCACGTTAAATGAAACGAAAGACATTTTCCACTTCATAATAAGTGTTTTTATTTCTTGAAAACAAAATGGAAGGAAAAAACGAAAATATTGATTGTTGCCACGTACATTTTCATCATGTTGCCAAATTTAGTGAAGAAACACCAGATTTCATTTGCAAATATGGGCGTAACTCATCAAATGCGACACTACGTTTTCCTTCTTTTAAGCATCTTGGACTACTTTTTAAGCACAATTTGCAC